TCACGTGTTCAAAAACACTCCAGTTCCTTTCACATCCGGATGAGCTACAAGTTAAGCTTAGAACTTTGATGGCGAAAGCCTGTAACTCCGGAGTCTCTACACCATATTGGTCCCACCATTCAACTATAGAAGTCAAAAAAATATTCAAGAGTTAATAAGTATAAAAAATACATTGAAGTTAGAGCTATAAAATAAAGAAACACTTGGTCACCTGGCGACTTCGTCGTTCTTTGTTTAATAGCAAGTCGAAGCTTAAAAAGTCCTTCAGCTGCCTTGTAAGTAGCAAACTAATCTACTATCTTTTCTTGCAAGTCTTCATCTGGGTTCAACTTGATAACAACCTGATGGAATCCTGTCCACACTTCTTTAGCCAATGAATTCTTCTCATGCTGCTCATAAAAGAGTGATGGGTTCAGAATAAGTCCAACTGCATGCAAAGGTCTATGAAGTTGCTCATCCCATCCTTGCAATCAATAATCTGAAAGACCTTTGCATATTTTTGCTCATCACTGAATGATGCTTGAATAGTCTCCTTGGCCCTATCCATAGCTTCATAGAGGTAGCCCATTGATGATTTTGCCTCCCCATCCACCAAACGGAGTACTTTAACCAAAGGGCCACCAATTTTAAGAGCATGAAGGACATTATTCCAAAAAGAATAAGAAAGAATAATGCGTGCAACCTCTTTCCCCGCACTTTCCTTTGCAAATTTACTCCTGCTCCATTCCTCTGAGTGACCATCTTTCTCAAATTGTCTTTTTGACAGTGGAGACTACGCAAAGTCAAGAAAGCAATGGCGAACCTTGTCTTGCCCGGTTTCACCAAAAATTTTTTTGCATGGTGAATCTTCTCATCATATTCATAACAAGGGCCGCTGACAAATATAAGAATGTAATCTAACGCCCTGGCCAAAAACTGTAGAGATAGGGTCTTTCCTTGAAAATATCCCCGAACATCAAGTTGATACAATGAGCCGCACATGGAGTCCAATAGACATTCTTGTACGCTCCTTCAATCATGCCACCCGCTTTCACATTTTCACTTGCATTATCAGTGACCACTTGAACAACTTTGCTTGGACCAATCTTTTCGATAGTGTTCTGAAACAAGGTGAACATTTTGATGTGGTCGGTGGATGAGTCACTAGCATCAATGGACTCAAGAAACAAACTTCCCCGGGGAGAATTCACCAACACATTAATAATCATTTTCCCCGTTCTTGCCGTCCACTTGTCCATCATAATGGAGCAGCCGTACTTGTTCCACACAACTTTATGCTCCTCAACAATTTTATTAGTCTCCTCCACTTCCTTATTTAGATAAGGACCTCTTATTTCATGGTAAGTGGGAGGCTTCATTCCAGGTCCGTATTGACCAACGACCTCAATAAAGTCTCCAAAAGTGTCATAGTTGACACAATTGAAGGGGAGCCCAGCATCATAGACCCATCGTGCAAAAGCTCTAACTGCACGATCCCTCAAAATGTCTTTAGCAATTTTTTGTACATCTTTTCCACCGCCCTTTGCTCCCGGCTTATTTGAGAAGTAGCAATCTATAGGACCTTTAGTCGATGATCCAAGGCTTGACCCATCTCTTCCCCGTTTTGTTGGAAGTGACAATTCTTCAATATCGTCATCATCATCATCATCATCATCAAGATTGGTCACCATTGGTTGATGAACCATTTGATTTTTTTGCTCCTTTTTCTTCTCAACAAAATTCTTTATTTCTTCCCTCACCTCCGGTGGACATTTCGGACAACTTGTGACGTTTCTATCGCCACCAATTAGATGGTATTTAAAGCGATAAATTCCACCCGTTGTAATCTTGTTGCAAAACTTGCATACAACATTTGTATGCTTCTCATTAACTCTCTCGCCATATCGCCAAGCCGGGTCTCTTTCGAACTTTGAGACATTTTAATATCTCTATTAAGATATAAGAAAAACATAATCAATAAACTGAAAATACATATAATATATATAATAATTAATTATATAAACTGAAATATACATTTAAAAAATCACATAAACTAAAAATAATACATATATATAATTAATTTTATATCCTGAAATATAATAATAATTTAATTTTATATGCTGAAATATAATAATAATTTAATTGTATATGCTGAAATATAATAATAAATGAAATACATATAATAATTAAATATATATGCTGAAAATATACACAAACGAAAAGGAAAAAGAAAGAAAAAATTGTTCCTTAGTCCTTACTCTGTTCTGGACTGGAGAAACAGAGAAAGAAAGAAAGAAGAAGAATGAAAAAAAAACGAGAAGAACTGAAGAACTGAAGAAGAAAGGAGAAAGGAGAAGAAGAAATTACTTGGGTCAGCAATGGCGAGTGTCGCGAGCGAGAAAGGAGAACTCGAGCGAGAGAGAAAGCGTCAGCAATGGCGTCTCTGCTTTTGGATTTCAGCTTCAGCAGGTAAAAAACCCTAGGTTTTATGAGTCAACTCTGTTTTGTCGAAGGGGAAGGGGTTTTTGGTCGATTTAGGGTCTGTTTTGTCTAATAAAATAACAGACCCAAAGTTTTTTTTTAAAAAAAAGACCCCCTGCGCTTTTCTGGAAAGAAGCGATCGCTTCATCGCTTTATCCGCTTCGTCGCTTCATCGCCTTCTCCTGTGAAGCGCTCGCTTTCTCAGATCGAGTCGCCTCAGTGTGCTGGAAGCGACAATAGGTCGCGTCGCGTCGCTTCACGCTTAAAGCGACGAAGCGCGCGCCTTTCTAAACACTGCTCCTGACTTATCATCGTCGTCCGCGCCCAACATCAGGCCCAGCTGATTCACTTCCTGCACCTGACCCTACTAATACTGCGGACCTGTCTCCTCTTAGTTAATCGATTGCACTGCCGAAAGATATACGGTCCACACTAATCCTAATCCTCATTATGTTGGTTTAAGTTACCATCGTCTGTCATCACCCCATTATGCATTTGTATTATCTTTGTCCTCTGTTTCCATCCCTAAGTCTACAGGTGAAGCATTGTCTCATCCAGGATGGCAACAAACTATGATTGACGAGATGTCTGCTTTACATACGAGCTGTACTTGGGAGCTTGGTCCTCTTCCTTCGGGTAAATCTACTATTGGTTGTCGTTGGGTATATGCAGTCAAAGTTTGTCCAGATGACCAGGTTGATCGACTTAAGGCTCGTCTTGTTGCCAAAGGGTATACTCAAATATTTGGGCTTGATTTTAGTGATACTTTCTCTCCCGTGGCTAAAATAGCATCAGTCCGCCTTTTTCTATACATGACTGTTGTTCGCCATTGGCCTCTCTATCAGTTGGACATTAATAATGTTTTTTTTTCACGGTGACCTTGAGGATGAGGTTTATATGGTGCAACCATCTGGTTTTATTACTCAGGGGGAGTCTAGTGGCCTTGTATGTCGGTTGTGCCGGTCCCTCTATGGTCTAAAGCAGTCTACTCGAGCCTGGTTTTGTAAGTTCAACACAGTTATTCAGGAGTTTGGCATGATTTGTAGTGAAGTTGATCACTCTGTGTTTATCGGCATTCTGCTTCAAATCTCTGTATTTATCTGGTGGTGTATGTTGATGATATTGTTATTACCGGCAATGATCAGGATGGTATTACTAAGTTGAAGCAACATCTCTTTCAGCACTTTTAGACTAAAGATCTGGGGAGATTAAAATATTTTCTGGGTATTGTGGTCTCTCAGTCTAGCTCAGGTACTGTGATCTCACAATGGAAGTATGCTTTAGACATTCTTGAGGAGACAGGAATGATAGGCTGTAGACCTGTCGACACTCCTATGGATCCGAATTCTAAACTTCTGCCAGGACAGGGTGAGTTACTTAGCGATCCTGCAAGATATATGCGGCTGGTTGGTAAATTAAATTACCTCACAGTGACTAAACCTGACATTTCCTTTCATGTGAGTGCGGTGAGTCATTTTATGGATTTTCTCTGTGATAGCCATTGGGATGCAGTTGTCCGCATTCTTCGATATATAAAATCAGCTCCAGGCATATGGTTATTGTTTGAAGATCGAGACCATGAGCAAATTGTTGGATATTCAGATGCTGACTGGGCAGGATCACCTCCTGATAGACGTTCTACATCTTGATATTGTGTTTTAGTAGGAGGTAATTTAGTGTCTTGGAAGAGCAAGAAACAGAATGTGGTTGCTTGGTCTAGTGCAGAAGCAAAATATCGAGCAATGGCCGTGGCAACGTGTGAGCTACATTTGCTCAAGGAGTTGAAATGTAGTGAAATAAGCAAAATGAAACTTGTGTGTGATAATCAAGCTGTCCTTCATATTGCATCAAATCCGGTGTTCCATGATATAACTAAACACATTGAGATTGACTCTCACTTCATAAGAGAAAAGATACTTTCAGGAGATATTGCTGCAAAGTTTGTGAAGTCGAATGATCAGTTTGCAGATATTTTCACCACGTCCCTCACTGGTCCTCGTATTTGTTACAAATGTAACAAGCTTGGTACATATAATTTGTATGCGCCGGCTTGAGGGGAGTGTTAGATAGTTATGTAAATAACCCTAGTACCACATAGAATAGGAGCAGAATATGTATTGTATATAGTTATAAATAGGGCTATTGTAATCACTTAATAGAGTACATCAATAAAATATATTTTTCTCCTGTGCTTTCTCACAGAGGTCTCAATATATTCCTGTTTGCCATTGCTTCTTAGCCTTTTCCTTTTTGAGATCCCAGTTTTACATGATGGTATTAGGGGATATGCAGGTTTTTTCTTCTTTAGGGATGGTTAAGTGTCTTCTAGACGACAACTTCTTTTGTTAGGTAATTATCTGTTTTTGTTCTTTGCTTTTGGCAGCACAGTTTTTCCTTTTCTTTTTCCCTTCAGTTGCTCAACCGTTATCCAGATCTTTTGCTGAAAATGTTTGCATGAATTGAAATCCTGGCTACCATTACATATGCATTGTGATTATCTTTGATTGCTTCTATATATTTTTTGTTAAATTTTGGGTCAGGTATTGTGAATGCTTTGCTTCTGGCATATACTGTGATGGGTGCAACTGTGTCAATTGTCATAATAATGTCGAAAATGAGCCTGCTAGGCGAGAGGCAGTTGAAGCTACTTTAGAGCGTAATCCGCATGCATTCAGGCCTAAAATTGCCAGCAGTCCACACGGAGTTCGAGAAAATAGGGTATTCTTTTAAATTTAAGCAAATTCATGGATGATGCATCATTAAAATATTAAGCACTGATGAAATTATCCTTATTTTAATTCTGTATGAGGTCTGAAAGTATCTTTGGTATATGGTTCTGGTTGATGTATAGTTTCTTGTCTGTGGAACTGTTTCAAATTTTTTTTTGGGGTGGGGGTGGGGTGGGGGGTGGGGTGGGGTGGGTAAATAAAGTTCTGGTCTTAGTAACAAACTGAAATGGTGCAATACTATATGAAAGTTATGTAACTGGTTTAACCAGAAATATCTATCAAGCTATCCTGGTCATCTATACATGCGGAAATGTTCTCTTTACACCAAAAGAGTAAATGAAATAAAACTATTTTCTTAAACTCTTTACATCCTTTTCATGATTTGGAAAATTATCCTGTTTCTTTTGTTCCAGATAATCCAAAAAGTGCATGATGGTGTGGTTCTCCAAATTACCTTCTCTCTTTGCCAATCTTCTTAACATTCAAGCTCGTGACTGCTTTTCCTAGACTTTAGTAGGACCCAAGAAATATTAAATAACGATAATGCAAGACTTCGAAGCTGATTAGTGATCTTGCAATGCACCCAAAGATCCATTTCATCTCCATTATCCTTTCAGTATTGTATCCCTCAACGCCCACCATGTGAAAAATGTTACTCTTCAATTTAAATGACACACTTTCCTTATTAGTCCGTTCCAGAAAGAATGACATATTTTATATTAAGAAATAATTTAAGTTTAAACTTTTCATTTTAAACACTTTACTCTTAATGAGAAGCTTGACTAGCCATCATATATTTCATGGCACCACAAAACTTTTGTCCCTTAAGCTTTTAGGACAACATATTTCAAAAGTCTTCTTTTTTCTTTAACTTTGTGCCAAGTCAAACTACATCATCTAAATTGAAACGGAGGGAGTACTTTTTTGTTGGCACCTTGGTGAAGGATAAAAAGCGGAATGAACAAAGAAAACTGTTTTTCCTTGTATTTCAATTGTTGTTAGATAAGGCCTCCTGTTATTCTCTAAACTTTGAGAAATTAAGTCAAATATCAGTCTCCAAACTGGTCTATCTAAGAATCAAATGAACTTGGTTAACTGCACGTGCAATGGGGTATTTGTCTAACAGAAGCAAATGAATTTGAGTCATCAAAGTAATAATATTTATTTTTGATGACTAGAGTTTTCTCCTAGTTCGAGGCAGTACGGCAGTATTGTTCTTCTTGTTTCACTTTATGCTTCTTGCTTTGTGTTATTAGTCCTAATTTTTTAGCTTTTCCTGTTTGTGATAGTGTTGATTTCCAAGATGACCTAAGTGATTTTTCTTTTCTTTTCTATAATTTTGTGGATTATCTAGAACTGTTGCATGCAAGAAGTTTCTGAAGAGACGGATCTTGATGCGTTTGCTTGTAATGGATTACAAACAGCAACTGTAATTTGTTGCTGTACTGGAAAAACTTGCATGTCTCTGTCCTCTATGAAATCTTAGAACTGATCTTCAATCTATGCAGGAGGAAGCTGGGGATGGCTTAGTACTGCCAAAGCATAATAAAGGCTGCCACTGCAAGAAATCAGGTTGCCTTAAGAAGTACTGTGAGTGCTTCCAAGCCAACATTCTTTGCTCTGAAAATTGTAAATGCATGGACTGCAAAAATTTTGAAGGAAGCCAAGAGAGGCAGGCTCTTTTCCATGGAGATCATGCCAACAACATGGCATATCTCCAGCAAGCAGCAAATGCTGCTATAACTGGTGCCATTGGATCCTCTGGTTATGGATCTCCTCCAGTGAACAAGAAAAGAAAGGCTCAGGAGCTGTTCTTTGGGTCAATGATTAAAGACCCTGTTCATAGGCTCGGTCAACTTCAGCAGGTAAACAATAACTGTTGTCCAATTCAACTTGACGTGTTTCTCAATTGTGCATGTCATCTTCATAGTCTGGCATGGGATCTGTTCTGATAATAATATAGTAGAATTAAAGGTCATAGGTTTCATTATAAGACATGGAATTTGTAATGAACAACAAGAAATTGTTTTACTTGGTTTTGTGATCATTTATCAGTGTTTCTATGCTATCTAATAAGCAGGAGAAACAACTTGCTGTAGCTCTGGCTTAATATTTGTGATAATAGTTGATTAGTGAACTCAAATCATACCATACAGGAAAGCCAAATCAAAGTTTCAGTTCCACCATCTCCGCTGTCTTCTATTCCTGGTCCTCGCGTTGGTAATGCTGCAGCATTAAGTCCTTCAAAGTTTACCTACCGGTACTGCTAACTACCCTTGAGAAATTAACACCCACTGCTCCTTCAGCAGACTAATTGTTGCCTCATTGTTGTAGGTCTCTGTTAGCAGACCTAATCCACCCACATGATATCAAGGAGCTTTGCTCTGTTTTAGTTGACTATGCATGGGAAGCGGGCAAGATGCTTGCAGGTATACTTTGATGTTTATTAAGAACATGGCTTCATTCATATCTACTTGTATCACCAGTACTTTAAGTATATCTTTCATTGTATTGACTTTCCAGCTTGTTTGCTTTAAGGTTGTTTTGATGATTTTTCCATGGGGTGTACTTACAATTGTTTTTAAGTCTTTTCTTGAATCATCACTGAAGTTTCTTCTGTCTATATTTGTTTATTACTTTAACGGAAAATGTCCAAATATACCCCTGAATTATGTAAAATGGTTCACATTTGCCCTTCGTTAGTAGTTGGGGGCAAATATGTCCTTGCCGTTACTAAAATGGGTCAAATATTCCCTTATTTCAAATGGAAAATTATTAAGGACTGATTATCTTTAATTAGTCTGATAAGCATAGTTTGCTGCTGACGTGGATAAAACTTAGCCCAAATCCTTCGTCTCCTCTTACTCTCTTCCCCATATGAAAAGAACCAAAAAGATACTTCTAGTCAATAACAGCGAGGTAAGAGTTTTCAAGCTTTCATTCCCGTTCAAAGCAGAATATCGAGCAATGGCTATGGCAGCATGTGAGCTAGTTTGGATCAAACAATTGCTCAAACTCAAAGAGTTGAAATTTGGTGAAATCAATCAGATGGAACTTGTGTGTGATAATCAAGCTGCCTTTCATATTGCATCAAATCTGGTGTTCCATGAGAGAACTAAATACATTGAGATTGACTGTCACTTCGTCAGAGAAAAGATACTCTCAGGAGATATTGCTACAAAGTTCGTGAAGTCGAATGATCAGCTTGCAGATATTTTCACCAAGTGTCTCAATGGTCCTCGTATTAGTTATATATGTAACAAGCTCGGTACATATAATGTGTATGCACCGTCTTGAGGGGGAGTGTTAGTTAGTTAGTTGTTATGTAAATAAGCAGTCTTACATGGAATAGGAGTAGTATAGGTATTGTGTATTGTTATAAATAGGGGTACTTGTATTATAGTTAGGGTAGATTAAAAATATAATTTTCCTGTGTCATATTTCTCACACTGCTATTTGCACGAATCTGGAAAATAATCATGCTATTGTGTTAGCGGACATCGCCCCTATAGACAGATTTGGACGGTCAAAAGAATCTGGGCAAGTACCTCCCCTCCTAAAATTGGTTTTTTTATTGGACTGAAACTTTGGTTATGAAAATTGTGGATTTTGAGATGATGGGATGAAGAAAAAGGAAAACAGAATGGTGGCTTTGGTGAGTTGCAGAGTGCTTAAATTGGATGACCAAATTCCACCATTTTCACAACCAAAAAGTTACATCCGGTAAACACTAGTTGAATGAGTGCTAAATTACAATCTACCATTATTAGCGTTTTGGATTTTCTTTGGTTGGAATATATATTTGGTTATGAAAATGGTGGAATTTGAGATGATAGATGAAGAGAAAGAAAATAGATTGGTGGGTTTTGATGAAAGTTATTTTACATAGTAAAATAAATTATACGACCAGCAGTGTGTGAGGAGTAGTTTTAATTTTGGAAATTGGTGATTCAGCTTGGGAAGTGGTTTTTCCAAGAGAATTTTCGATGGTAATGAAGATGATCTATTATTAAAAAATACTTTAAAATAAGATAAAAGTAGACATGGCAAAACTTGGTGATAATTAGTACTAATAATTTTTCCATTTGAAATAAGGGTAAATGTGACCCATTTTAGTAACGGCAAGGATATATTTGCCCCCAACTATTAATGGAAGACATATGTGGACCATTTTACATTGTTCAGGGATATATTTGGACCTTTTCCGTTACTTTAATTATGCCTTTTTCCTTCTTAATACCTGGGATCTATGACCCAAGTAGCAGTACCTTTAATTTTTCTCCGAATCTAATACTAGGTAATAGCTTAAATGGGGTGATAATGTTTAGATTAGATAATACTTTTCTGCCTCTGTACTAAATTGAGATCAAGTAAAAACATTCACCCAAACTGAAAATATCAAACTTTAGAACTATGGAAACCTTAGCTAAATGGGTCATATGTGTGGCATGGACAGCTATTTGAGATTCATTTATGTGTTTAATGCTTTTTATCCATTACTGAGGATTAAACGAAGCTGCTGGTTTTGTTTCTGTTTTTTTTTTTTTTTTGCTACTTTTCTTCTTTTCTTGTGTGGGGATTTAGGATGCGTAGGGATCACCTTAATATGGCCTTCGGGCAGGGTACTAGAGTAGTTTCCATCATGTCAAAGACTTCTTTTCTCTATTTTTTATCTGTCCTGGTTCATTTTCTTTCCCATCTATTTCTTCTGAACAGAACCAAGCAGGAAGAGGACACAAATTTTAAAAAAATGAATGGAAGGAAAAAAAAAAGAGAATGGAAAAGATAGGAAGAACGGGCACAAGAGCAGACTAAAGGAGGGAGACTTAAGTACTGGGGATACTGTAGACATGTTGCTGAAAGTGATCTAGAGATTAGGGAGATCTATATACTTGTTAGATAGTTAATGTACATAGTTAAAGTGTGTATAGTTATGCTTAATGTTAGTGTCGCAGCATTGGGAAAACATGATTATCTACTACGTACATTGTGGATAAAGGGCTCAACATATGACAATTGTTTTCATACATCTCCATAATCGTTTCTCCTGTGTCTTTATTTCTCACGTGGTATGATAGCCTGGTGAAAAATTTCGCGCTATGGAGTCACCAGCGACGTGTCTGGAAAAGGAAAAGCTAGTCAATGCACATTTATTCCGGTGACTTTCAGGGCTGTTTGCGTCAACTATCTGTTTCGTGAGTGTTGTGCGAAAACCAACACTGTCACGGGGTTCGGGACCTTCTGGCGGCCAAAGCCAATAAACCCTTAGACTCAACCTCCAGCCTCTCGTTAACACCACCCCGCATCTCGTCAATAAGAACAATGTCATTAGCAAATAACATATATCGTGACACTTCTCCTTGAATGTGTCGGTCAATGCGTCTATTGCCAAGGAAAATAGAAATGGGCTTAGAGCAGATCCTTGGTGCAACCCTATCACAACCGGAAAGTGTTCCGAGTCTCCTCCCGCCGTCCTAACCCGAGTCTTGGCTTCATCATACATGTCATTAATCACCCTAATATAGGCTACTGGGACCCCTTTAGCCTCCAAACATCTCCAAAGCACCTCTCTCGAGACTTTGTCATAAGCTTTTTCTAGGTCAATGAACACCATATGCAAATCCTTTTTCATCTCCCTATACCGCTCCACCGATCTCCTCACAAGGTGAATGGCTTCCATACTCGAATGCCCCTCTCCCTTGCTTCAACCACCCTCTCCCAAACTTTCATCGTATGACTAAGCAGCTTAAACCTCCTATAATTATTGCAACTTTAGATATCACCCTTGTTCTTATACAGTGGAATCATCGTAAACTAGAACTAATGTAAGAGTTATTATTGAATACTATGTTCTAACAAGTTAGAACACTTAGCTACTAGAACCCTATCTAAACTAGTGGATAATATATATATATATATATATATATATATATATATATATATATATATATATATATATATGTATGTGTGTATATGTATATATATGTAAAATAAAAAAAATATGAGTTTGGGGGGCGTTGTTGTTGCATACAAAGAGAGAATAGTCTACTGCTAGATTTAAGCTATTACATTCTGAAATGTTTCTATAGAAAGTAGTTCCTAGAATGTCAGCCAATAGTGCTTCATTTGCAAACACTAGAAGAACTGGCCCCTTCCTTAGCTAGGATGTTTGCCACTCTAGTTGATTCTCGGTGGCTTACGGCCGGATTCCCCAACCTTGCTAGCAATAACCTGCATGCAGAAATTACGGAGTTATAATAAAGGTTTCCTTTGTTAATCATGTGTATTACCTCCGATGACTCGCTGAGTCAATAGCCTCTTCAAGGGGAGTGAAATTGTTATCCACAGCTAACTGCAACTCCTGCAATCGTGCTAGTAATTTTGATCGAGAGTTAGTGGTGCGTGCTAGACCTTTCATGAAGCCCATTACCTAGTCACCACTGGGGGTATCAAATGGGTAGGTTGAGCCGATTTTGGGCGGTCAAAATAAGCTGAGCAATAAATGGGCGGGTCATTGGCCCCGTCCAAAAGTTTGGGCTGAGATGGGCTGGGTCAAGATGAGCTTAAATTTGGGTCATAGCCCAACCCGCCCAACTCTTACTAAGTTTTAATTAATATGTGTTGTTTTCTTATGAATTGTGTAATTACTAAATAAGACTTTTTTTCTTTTGTTATGGTCATATATAATATATCAAACAACAAAGAATTATTTCTAAGATATTTTGGCAAAGTTACTAATAGATCAATTTGGACTAAAAATCAACCCAACTTTAAATGGGTTGAGATGGGTTGGGTCAAGATGAACTGAGTTCAATAAATGGACGGGTCAATAACTAGCCCAACCTTGGGCAGGTTGAGCGGGTCATTTGGGCTTGGGCCAAATTTGACAGCCCTAGTCACCACTACTATTTCTAAACCCCTTCCTATACCACCTGGATTTGTTAAGCTAGAGCCATGAGTGTGTAGCTTATAGGAACCCTTGTGTGGAGGTTCCCATTTAACATTGATGGTCTGCTTAGTAGCGGTTGAAAGTTTGTCTTAGCAACAAGGAGAAATTCCACTGCCTCAGCAATGGTGTTCTTAATAGGTAGCCTCTTTTTGGTTATTGAACATGTTGCTATTTCTGGCTAGCCAAATGTGCCAGAAACAGAATGGGAGGTGTCCCCGGGTGATGTTGCTGTTAAAGTCCATACTCCTAATTTTGGAGTAACAGACCATTCATGAGCTTGGAAGTTAAGAGCATTTGTACAAGAACTGTAGGTGCATTCTTGAGCAATGCTCATCTACAGTGAGAGATAAGATTATCTACAATTTCTTTATTACAAAATAACAATAAATAAAAGTTAATAAAACTGCATTTTTGAGATGCATATATTGTATATGAAAATTTTATCTGCCTTTTCCTATTTAGGGAGTATAGATAAGATCAGAATTACTTAAGAAGTTTGCCAAATTAGGAATAAATGGAAATTGCATCTATGTGCTTGAGTATACCACTAAAAGTAAACCAGAATGCTCCTTACCAGAGCAAGAAAGTCAGGCCATCTATTTCAACAGTTTAATGCAAGCTCCTGAGTGGAGGATGACTAAGCTCGGGCACTTATGCATAAGCTGGTACAGCGCTTCTGGTTTAGATGATAGCTAATTTAAGATCTAAATTTATTTACAAATTAGTCTGATATGGAAAAAAGCTTTATTAAAAAGAAAAAAAATTGTTGTATCTCTTTTACCAGATAGAGGACCATATCATGATAAATTATCATTTGGACAATCATCAGGATTTCTTTTTCTTTTTTTCACCATGGAGAGATTTAGCATCTATTATCTGTTGGTTTTTCCATGTGATTGTTTGGTTTTAGCTGACATTTCCACTATGCATAATGTTTTAATTGATTATGTGTTGGAATGCTTTCAGATGAAAGAGATGCTTCACTAAAACAAGCGAAGTGCCACAGTGAAGCTTCTTACCCTTCATCAGGTGTTGAGAAGGTTATACCTGATGATTGTTCAAGTGCAGTCCGGGCCGAGAATATTGATGAGTCTAGTTTGGATAGTGCTAATGTACCAAAAGAAAGGCCAATGTCTCCGGGAACATTAGCACTCATGTGCGATGAACAGAATACGATTTTTACTGCGGCTGCTGCTCCCCCTAATGACCGAACAAGCCTTAGCAATAATACATCTTCCCAACTTCCTCATGGGCAGGGCATGAAAGAAGTCTACCCAGAACTGGAGAAGATCGTATTGACGCGAACCCGTGATTGCCTTAAAAAGCTGATCACTTTAGGAGAATTAAAAGGTAGGTTTCTAATCTTCTGTCTGAAAATCTGATTCTACTTCATTTATTGATAGCACTTGCCAAATGCATCTGAATCAATGAAACCAATAATAAGCCCTAAAATTCCTATCAATGAATATATGCCCTCAGAATGATACAACAAGAAAGCTTCTCAATTGTAACGACCCAAACTCCCACCGGAGCCGTGACGGTGCCTAACACGGCTTGCTAGGCAAGCCAATCCTTCCGCAATAACAATAACTAAATTAACAGAAGCTTAATAATCTCAACAACAAGCTTAATAATCTCAACAACAGTAATATCATAACATATCTGAGAAAAACAACAATAACACAACTACAATCATCCCAATGATCTGGTGTCAATGAGTGCATGGACACTACAGAGTCCCAAAATACATAGTAAAATCCTCGGTACAACTATCTGAATGATAAAATAGTGATAACAGAAATAAACAAAAGAGTACTTCAAGTTCTGCGAACGACATAGCAGCTACTTCATAGTCTCCACAAGCTGAATCCGATGCAAACCTCTAACAATCGCCACGCCCCGAAGTACCTGGATCTACACATAGAATGCAGAGTGTAGTATGAGTACAACCGACCCCATGTATTTAATAAATAACAAACCTAACCTTGGGCTGAAAGCAGGGACAGATCAGAAGAAAGTCAGTGTTCATCACCAATAATCAATAACAACTTATAATATAATGAAAACAGTAAAAGTAAATAACTCAAAAGATATCATGTTCAACTCTTTCACAATTATAGAAAATTAGACATGTTTTCCAAGTATGACAGTCAAAGCCCAATCTTTCACCAAAATTTCTAAAATATGAGATTATCGAGGAATTTGTGATTTTTCCAAACTTTCAACAACAGATAAAACATTTCATTTATCAACTAGCATGAGGAAAATATATTTCTATGCCTACATGTCAAGTCAATAACATCAAAGTGAAATCATTAAGTACACTCACTCTCAGCACACTCAAGTGCCTGGAACAAATGCCCCTCACCATTACACACTCAATCACTCAGCAGACACTAATGCCCCTCACCAAAACACATATATATCACTGCGCCTGCGTTCATTGTAATATCAGATTCCGGAGGGGCGGATCCTGGTCCAAGCGCTAATCAATAATCAATATCATTCCGTTGCAGCGTGTAACCCGATCCAACATAACCCACAACACGGCTCTATGGCCCACATCAGTCATCAACCGCTCAAGTCTCAATAGCTCACATCTCATAGAACTCGGCCCAACTAGTATCACATATAGAAGGAAAAAACAACACGCGATATGACAAACAAATAATGTACAGAGACTGAGATACAACTTGCAGATGAGGAATTATGACGAAGAATATGACTAACAATTAAGGCAAACATCTCAAAATAACAAGATCATCCCTATCATGTCTCAAACAAATAAGTTCATAGCCTAGGCATGATTTCTAGTACGAGTCATAACTCAAATGATCATACAAGTAGATGAAACACAGATATAGAGGCATGAAAGCAACCAAGTCACATAGTAGCCTAAACTCTACCCGGATTATGAACATCCCGGTGCACGCACACATGCCCGTCGCCAGCACGTGCGTCACCCCCAAAACATCTCAAGTATCATAGTTCACAAGGATAATTACCGTTAAACCAAGTTTAGATATGTTACCTTAAAGCGGGGAATCAAAACTCCAAAAAGCTCTTCCCACACGAATCGACCTCTGAACTGCTCGAATCTAGTCAAAAACAACTTCATATCATCAAATAATGTTGTAGGAAACAACCCCAAACAATAAAGCTTCAATCTTGGACAAAATTAAAAAGTCAACCCAAAACGTCAACCCGAGCCCATTTCACGGAATCCGACACAAGTCACAAATTTCCAACACCCATTCGTATACGAGTCCAAGTGTCCAACCATACTAGTTTCATCCAGTTCCGACTCCGAATGGCGGTTCAAATCCTCAAATTTCATTTAGAAAAGTTTTTACTAAAATCCCCAATTTCTTCACTTAGATTTATCAATCAACCCTAAAATCAAGGTTGGGATCATGAATAATGAACAAATCCGAGTCGAAAAATACTTACCCCAATCCAAATTGTGAAAATCCTCTTCAAATCGCCCAAATCCGAGCTATATAACTCAAAATGTGATAAAATAACTCAAATCTCGAAAATGATATTTTAAAGGTCTGCCCAGGCATATGCATCGCGACCGTGGGAACCTTATCGTGATCGCGAAGACCAAAAATTTCACTTCCATAAAAGACCTTATGCAAACGCGGCCCTAGGCTCGCGATCGTGATTCACTAGTTGCCAAGCCTACGCGAACGCGAACATTCCCACGCGATCGCAAAGGCTAAAATCCTGACGCGCCCGACCATCCTTCCCTTCTACCCGAATGCGACTCCCCGTATGCAAACGCAAAGGCCACTGCCCCACAAGGTCCGCGAACGTGACCCCTCCATCGCGAACACAAAGAGCAAAACTCACCTGCCACCAAATACACTCCGCGATCGTGACCCTCCTTCCGCGATAGCGATGAACACCAGAAGACAACTCATGCAAAACAAGGAAAATTGGTCCAAAACCACCCGAAACACACGGAGGCTCCCGGGATCCCGTCCAATCACACCAACCAATCCCAAAACATAATACAGACCTGCTTGAGGCCTCAAATCACATAAAACAACATCAAAACCACGAATCGCACCTCGATTCAAGCCTAAGGAACTAATGAATTTTCAACTTCCAAAACTCATGCCGAACCATATCAAATCAACTCGGAATGACCTCAAATTTTGCATACAAGTCCTAAATGAAGCAACGGGTCTATTCCAGCTCCCGAAACTACAATCCGAACCCGATATCATCAAAGTCAACTCCCGGTCAAACCTATGAACCTTCCAAACCTTCAACTTTCCTACTTTCGCCAAAAAGCACTAAATCAACCTACGGACCTCCCAATCCAAATTTGGACATATGCCTAAGTCTAAAATCACCATACGAACATATTAGAACCATCAAACACTATTTCGGAGTCGTCTACACAAAAGTCAAACTCCTGTCAACTCTTACAACTCAAGCTTCCAACCTTGGGACTAAGGGTCCCAATTCACTCCAAAACCTCCCCGAACCCAAACCCGAACCAACCATCCCCGCTAATCATATAACAACAATTACACATATGTAAAACATCAAACAAGGGAAACATGGCTAAAATACTCAAAATGACCGCTCGGATCGTTACATCAATCAACCAATCAACCGGCTTCGCCTCAATTTGAAGCTATGCAGGGACTGCCTTCTGTATAAATCCTCTTATAACTATTCCATTCTATGTGGTCCCAACTCATTCCAATATTAAGACAAACTAGGAATTCACTGAAATAGGGTAAATCTCAGACTTACAATACTGATATACAAATCTACAATCAAGCTTAAACACTTACCAAATACCAGACTTAAAGTTTGGCCTTTGTTACCAACTAGTTAGTATTACCCATATGGATTATTTTCTTTTAGTATGCACATGTAGTTTGATGAAAAGTATGATTTTTGGAAAAATCTGAATAAGAAGTTATAGTTGTGTGCTGAAATATTTATGGATTCCTGTCTCCATGCCAAGGACTGCGAAAGTGAGGTAGGCCTCAATTAGAAACTTCCATTAAATAAACTTGGCAAAATACATAAGTTACCCATGAACTATGGACCAAATTCGTGTTATACATTTTTTGCGAATGAAGTTCACCTTACACCACTCAACATTTCTAGAGTGTCTAATACACACAACTTTGCCTACATGGTCGGCGCGTGGTTTACCAACAAAATGAGGCGTGTGCAGAAACAAAAAAATATACTTGATGCTTTATTTGAACGATCCAGATCTAATAAATTGATCCAATTTAAATTGATTTTTCTATTTTCTTTTCCTTCTTTTGTTCCTTTTCTTTTATGTTGTGTTTTTCTTTCTTCAACAAACAAAACTCCTCCCATGTTTGTCTTTTACAGTCCCCATCGTCCCCGGATCCTCCATTTGTTTTCCCAAAATTCCTCCCTTAAAATTAAGAAGAGTCCAATAATAAAGCTTGATCGCCTATGGAACTTTAAAGGTGGAGAGGGATAATATATAGTTTTGAAGAGGGATCTTCTAGGTTTGTCCAAATTATTTTGGGATTTTTTTGAGAGGATTGTTCAAATGAAGGGATTAGAAGTAGAGGAAGAGGACAAAGCTAGTGTAAGTGTTTGCATTCCGCCTAAGTATGCTTTGCTTTTAATGAGATGTTGCGGATCTTACTAATCGTTTCTAGGAATGACCTGCTCAAAAAGAAAAGAACGAAGAAGAAGAAGATAAGAAAAATAATGGAGAAAGTGATGTGAAAATAGAAACTATGCAAAGAAATTTGAATGGTGGCCGAGGGGATGATAGCCATGGTGGTGGATTTGATGAAGAAGATAGGTTTAACTACAATTTTAAGTTTTTTTATTTTTTAATACGTCAATGACACATGTCACTATTTCATTGGAGCGTGACATTACACATGTTTTGAGAAATTGGTCAAGGAAAAAGTAGTGTGCATTAGGCAAACTATGAAAAGGTTGAGTGTTCAAGGTTATTTTCGTCCGCAAAAAGTATATAATAGAGATTTGGTCTATAGTTCAAGGGGTAACTGTATTTTTCCATTAAGCTTTCTGGTAAATCAGCTGGTTAGGTAGTTTCAAAGCTGAAATAATAGTGCATAATCAGTTGCCAAGAGCTGAAAAGTTTGGAGTTTAGATGAGACAAGTAACCACATAAAACTAGCACAAGTCCCATGCAGTGGCATATCTAGGTTGGGGGCCTGGGTTTACGTACACCCATGTTCCCCTCCCTAGATCATGTATAATAATGCTATCTCTCTGTTTCAATTTATGTGAACCTATTTCCTGTTTAGTCCGTGCCAAAAAGAATGACCACCTTCCATATTTGAAAATAATTTGCCTTTATGCAATGATTTATAACCACAAAAAATATGTGTGTCTCATTTTGCCTTACAATTTCAAAAGTCTTCTCTTTTTTCTTAAATTCTGTGCACAGTCAAATAGGTTCACATAAATTAAAACAAAGGGAGTATATTTTCTTATAAAATACTTAAACATATGTGTAGCCAAGTTCAAAGTGTCATATGGTGCAATAATCGTTGTGTGCACCTCTTTAAGTGAGATCGGGGGTTCAAATCCTATGTGTATTTTGTTGCTTTTCCTTTCTTTTTTCTAGAATTGGGTCCACCCACGAGGACAGGCATGTCTGGTATCTGTTCTTGCATTTTATTTGGGTACGTTTCTCTTTTTCTTATTTGTTTGGTTTATTTTTTCTAAAATTCCAAGTCTGACACATTGAAATCCCTATTTTCCTTTTGTCGCCGTAAAGTTTTATATAATTAAAGCAAATGTGTATATTAAAACTAGTAAAAGTAAAGGATGTAGCATATAGCCAATGGGTTTAACTGATCTGAACATTTTTGCACGGAGATATATGTAAAAATTGCTATTAATTTTATTAAGCTATAATTTTAAAAGCGTAATGGGTTCAATCGTAAGAACCTAAAAGTTGAACCCGCCAAATTTATATCCTGGATCCACTTCTTCGTAATAGTGCCTCCATTCTCTCGAAATCTTAGATTCTGCCCCTGGTCCTATGAGTGCTGGAAACCAAAGGCTTACTGAGCGGATGCCACTATGTCATAGGATGATAATCTCAAGTTACGACAGGAATTAATTCTTGTTCGTTTGGTAAAAGTCTAGCCGAAGAAGTCGAGTTGGTAGACATACTCACAAATAGGAAAAAGGCATTGATCGGTAGATAGAGGTGGCAAAATGGTTAAAAGAAAGCAGTTATCCATCCATATTATCCATTAAAAAATGGGTTGGATAATGAACTTCTAAAAACGGGTCGAATATGGATAAGAACTATATTATCCACTTAGAATATGGATAACCAAATGGATAACCAATGGATAACTAATGGGTTTACCTTTTACATTTGTAAAGCCTCATATTGGGTTCCTCAAGTTTGGGAGACTAGGAATTCTCCTAAAAGTGATCATATTCAAGAAGCTGTGGATAATATGGATATCCATATTATCCGCCGGATAACCCATTTTTTATCCGTATTAAATATGGGTCGTTCGGATAAGTTATCCGTTTTTTGAATTAGCCGTTTTCGACCCGTTCATATCCGGTCCGATCCGACCGGCCCGTTTGCCACCACTATCGGTAGACAAGACCTTCAAAGAGTGGTCCTCTGCACTTGTAAAGAATTCACTTTCGTGTTCTCTTAATCTCTTCTTGCCCTTAAATTGAATAAAGCATTTTCTTAAAACTATTTTGCAATATACTTTGAAATTTCATAGCCTGTCTATCAGGAATATCCTTTCTTTCTTATTATGTTCGAGGGGGGTGGGACCTTTGAAACTGCAAAGTATGCTTGGTTCATTTGCAGTTTTGTTATCCCCTCCCCGCTTCACAAGAGGAACACAGTCCATATGTTGATACTGCTATGTTTCATTTGGGATATGTTGATTTGTTACTAAATACGTCTATTCTGAATACAGAAACAAAATGTTCTTCAATGGTGCGAGGTGCCGATTCAGGTAGCCAAAATGAAGTGAATGGCAACGGCATAGCCATGACTGATTCAAGGAATCAACATGAACCTTTCAGGAATAGTCTTGCCAATAGTGTTCCAACTCCTCCTCCACCTCCACCGCAAAAGGTTGAACCTGGAACTACTGCTTTTAGTAATAACCCATGTCCTAAAGTTCATCCTCCGGATGAGAATGGTGACGTGAAATCAAAAAGCTGAAATAAACTGTAAAGAGATTTAGGATGAGGTTTGCCTCGAGCTGCTGCATCTCTGTAATATTAGGCTATTCTTTATTCAGTTTGTCTTCGATGCAGTGCAAGGTTATTTCAGGCCTCATTTGTTAGAAGTTAGAACTAACTAGCACCACTCATGTAACCTTACTACAGTTTTCCTTAGTATAATTTTATTGAAAGTTACAATTATTCATTTTTTTTTTCTTTCTGAAATCATGTGTAACTGGTAAGGTTTCTGTCATGTGACCAGGAGGTCACGGGTTCGAGCCGTGGAAACAGCCTCTTGCAGAAATGCAGGGTAAGGCTGCGTACAATAGACCCTTGTGATCCGGCTCTTCCCCGGACCCTGCTCACAGCGAGAGTTTAGTGCACCGGGCTGCCCTTTTCATGTGTGCAAGAAAACTCGAACAAAATGCTAGATTTTCCGTGTAAAGATGTAATGCTCAAATCTTCTTTCTGCTTTTTGCTTGATCCTTTTCCATTTATTTTTCCTAGTGAAGTTATGCAAAAAGGTGCGCAAACTAAGTTTTAATACCATTGCTTATTATTAAGCACATAGTAGCGCCTGTAGTGCTGAAAATTTTAGTCTTAATGGTTAGTTACGTTGATATTTGATTTCTTCTCTCCTGATTGCAAAGACTTATTACTTCTGCTCTAATTTGAAAAATTAGAAAAAACGTTTCTTCTATTTGGATGTATCAGTAACTAGTTTCTGGATACAGGTGTTGTGCATGTACCCCGTACTATAAGTATAAACACTAAAAAGTTATAATATTATTAAAAGTATATTTGAGTCATCAAATAAAACTTAGATAAAACAATTTGTAAGTTCCTTAAAATGATGATCATTCATTCTATTTATTTAACTCGATGAAGAAACCTGTCACAACAAAAGTCCTCTATCCTCGGATGCTGTATTCTAATTTTGATATATTAATTTTGTATTTACTTAAAAAGTCAAGACAAAAGTACACACTCACTTTGGAGTATTTTTGTTTCATTTATAGGTGTGAATGACATAATGAATTGCTACATATAGATGGAAAAATACATGGAAAAAAAATTGAAGCAAGAGTTATGCTTTTAATTCTCCAAGCTAACAACAAATGAAATATGCACCATTGTCGACGCTTAATTTTCCCTCCACTCCCTTTAAATTTCAGTTTGATAATCAAATATGCATTTCATCAATCACAAATAAACTTGATTTTCACATCCACAAAGAAAGCTCTTATCACCACTGAATGAGGAAAAATCCTAGAGCCGCCGTCAAGAAACGATTTTCCCCCACCTTCCCCTCTAAAAAGTCAAGCCACCACTACAATATTATTAGTCTAAACTATTGCAAAGGACGAGTCCTTCCTCAGATATATCTGAATGTGAGTGAGATGTTTCAGACGCACTCTTGAAAAACTCATAATTTTACATGTTACCAGCAAATGATGAATGGAAATTTCAATCTTTTTTCAAGCATACTATTCAAACAATGGAGTCGAGCTTATACTCTACAAAAAAAAATCTGCTATAAATAATTATATCGATATAAATAAAGCAAAGGAGGATGGAGAAGTGATTGATTCTTTGTTTGTATTTATAGGATGGTGGTCAGGTTGCATAATTTGGGATACGTATAGATTTTGCATGGAGAATGGGAAATGAACCATCCATTTATTTAAAAGTTATTTAAGAGATTTTATTAGAATATAACGTGGAAGAAACTTTTCAATATGAAGTGGACAACATGAGTGGGATGAAACGGACAACATGACGGGGTGCAATAATTTAGATTAGAAATAAAAACATAAGGGAAAAAGTGATTTTAGAATTTAGTGTTGCATTAAAGAGTAGAAATGATTGGAAGCTGGAGAAGCTTAGGGACATTATTAATATGAACTTATTTATTGTAAGTGTATTTACACTTTGTATATTTCTAAATATTGAGTGGTTAATATTTTTAAAAGGATATAAACGCCAATCATATATTTTAGAGATATTTTTGTCTTTTAACTTTAGACTTAGGACTTTCCCACTTTTAGTATAATATTATATATTATATATTATATTATAATCGTGTTACTAATGTTAATGTAATTATCACAATAAAATAGCTTAAAGATTGTACCCATTTGATAGAAGAGTTTTGTTCCGCAACACCATGTAGAATGGGTTCTCTTATATGGAGACTCTTCTCGATTAGATGGTGCCAAGAAAAGCTCCTTCATTTGGCGTAACATTCTGAAAGGACAGAATATGTGTGATCTAGAAATGGAAAAAGTATAAATTTCTGGACCACGACATGGCTATCAATAAGGATGGAATATTTGTAAAAGGTATATCTTGGTCCATTGGAATGGAAAAAATATGAATTTCTGGATCACGAAATGGCTATCAAATGGTCAGGATATCCGCAATTTTATTTATGGTCCGCTAACTGGAAAAAGAAAAGTTAATCTTAAGGCTAGTGAGTTAAATAATCCATAATGAGCTCATTGATTTGATTTACAGTGTCCATAGTGCTTTTCCACCTAGTTCTATCATTAAGCCCCAAATAACCCCCAATAGCAACTTTAAATTATCTGGAAACTCAATGTCCCAAAAAAGTTTTTAAACTTATTGTTGGCTTTGTTATCATTAGGGGTTGCAAACGGAAGGGTCGGGTCGGATATAGATGGGTCGAAAATGGGTAATACAAAAAAAATGGGTAAATTATCCGACCCGACCCATATTTAATACGGATAAAAAATGGGTTAACCGGCGGACAATATGGATATCCATATTATCCATGGCTTCTTGAATATGATAACTTTTGGGAGAATTCCAAGTCTCCCAAACTTGAGGAACCCCCAATTTGAGGCTTTACAAATATAAAAGTTAAACCCATTAGTATCCACTTGGTTATCCATTTTCTAAGTGAATAATATGGTTCTTATCTATATTTGATCCGCTTTTAAAAAGTTCATTATCCAACCTATTTTTTAATGGATAATACACACTTCTGGGTCGTTTACTCAAAAGTCAAACTCCGGTCAACTCTTATAACTTAGGCATCCAACCTTTGGACTAAGTGTCCCAATTCACTCCAAAACCTCCCCAAACCCGAAACAACTAACCCGGCGACTCACATAACCACAAATACACTTATGTTAGTCATCAAATAGGGTAAACAAGGCTAAAATACTCAAAATGACCGGATGGTTTATTACATTTTCCCCCTCTTAAAACAATATTCGTCGTTGAACGAGTCTAGAATCATACCTGGAGTCTCAAAAAGGTGAGGATATCTGCTCCACATCTCCTTCTCGGTCTCCCAAGTAGCCTCCTCGACTGGCTGACCTCTCAAGTGAACCTTCATCGATACTATATTCTTCGACTTCAACTTTCAAACCTACCGGTCCAAAATGGCCACCGACTCCACATCATAAATCAAATCCCTATCCAACTGTACCATGCTGTAGTCCAAAACATATGACGAATCCCCATAATACTTTCGAAGCATGGAAGCATGAAACACTAGGTGAACTCCCGATAGACTAGGTTGCAAGGCAAGTCTGCAAGCCATCTCCCCAACTATCTCAAGCACCTCAAAAGGACCAATATACCTAAGGCTCAACTTGCCCTTCCTCCCGAACCCCATTACACCCTTCATGGGCGAAACTCTGAGTAGAACCTTCTCACCCACCATATATGCCACATCGCGAGCCTTTTTGTCAGCATAAGTCTTATGCCTGGATTGTGCTGTATGAAGCCGCTCCTGAATCACCTTCACCTTCTCAAAAGCCATGCGCGTGCACCGGGGTATTATCCATGCTCGAGGTAGTGCTTATCCTATGATATGCTTTGAATTGATTGCTAAGTTTTATGTTGTTATGTTTCTTATGTTTGAACCCTTCTGTGAGCTAATTGGATCGTGTTAGAGGTTACATATAGGTTAATATCCTGATTGAACATGATAACTGCTATCTTTGTGATGAAATGGCCTAATTTGAGCTACGGTAGTATACTTCACACAGGCATACACTTTAGCATGTCACTTATATAAGTCCATGAGTATGTCATTTGATATTTGTTGTTCAAGAACATGTATTATTGTATATATTCTTTATGTGTGATATGGATTGGACTGATATCACGTGAGCGATTCGTGCGGATCCGAGTTATTTTATTAGTACGTGAGTTGTCCATGTAGCGTATGGATAATGATCCATCTCCCTAGGGTCATCCTTTCATGTTTCTCTCTTGATGGTGTACATACAGGTTGTGAGAAACCGGTGGGTTTTTGGTTGATGTGGATTTTTGTAATGTTGATCATTTTTTGGACTTTGCATCTCTTCTCTATTTGCAAATTCCTATGATTTTACTGTATCTTTTCTCTATTTGCTAGTTCCGGAGTGAATAATGCATTTATGCATATCTTCTCTATATGCTACCTTACTTGATGAGATGAGACACGATGCATATAGTCTCTATATGTGAATCTCTGTGACTTGACTTGTTTAATCATGCATGTCTTCTCTATATGCAATTGTTCAAGGATCAATTAATGTTTCATGCATATCTTCTCTGTATGCAACCGATGAAGCACTATCTGGTATTTCACACATATTTTTTCTATATGCAAGTTTGATGATTTAATGACATCGGACTTCTTTATATGCTGGATTGACCGCACATTGCCTCTTTGTGCACCGATGTGGTTTAATCTGTGTTATATGATTAGATGGCACCATTGCTATGTACTTGTGAAATTCAAGAATTGAACAAGCTATTAGCGAGTATCATTAATAATTCTTGCCACTATTATAACCTCAACGAGGTTAGTTATGATACTTTCTTAGTACATGGGGACGGTTGTACTCATACTATACTTCTACACCTACCATGCAGATCTTGGAGCTGATCTGCTGTGGATGACATAAGCTGGCATTGAATATGTACCTTCTTTTCGGATATAGCTACCACTTATCCTTGGTAGTTTTGGATTCGTACTCTATTTATGTATATTTCAAACATATGCTGTATTTATTTTCGTACCAGCTTTGTAAATCTAAATCTTAGTGGCTCATTACTTGTATTACCAACCCTTGGGATATTGTATGAAAACTTAGCTATTTCATTTATTGAGTATACGATCTTTATTAGAATTGTGTAACTATTGTTTGCCTTACCTAGCGGGTTGGGTTAGGTGTCGT